AATAAAATGTGTAAAAAGAGGATATAGATAATTTTTTTATTAACATACGATGTTTAAGTTTATTATATGATTGTATTATATATAATATGGTATAATATAATATATATTTAAGTTTATTACAATGTGATTACATTATATATAAATATAAACGGTCGAAATTTTTCAGTATAATTTTAATAACATACATATGTGAATAAATAGATATTTTTTTCTAAATTCAAGGATTATCTTTTATTATCAGTAATTTTCCAGATGAATGATATATGTAAATTTTGAAGGGGACATAATTTCAAAAAAATATGAAACATTTATTTTGTAAAAAAATTTATTAAATATTTACATGATATAAAAATAATTTGTCCACTTTACATTTTTTTTAAATTTTGTACAACACTTAAATTATAAAATAACTTCTCTCGTAGTGTAAGCCAATTTCTTGTTTGTGCCTTCTGAATTTTCCGTAGATAATTTCGTAACGTATCGTTCTCTAAGATTGCTGTACCGTGCCATTTTAAAAATACCGCCAAATACGCTTGTGATAATTCGAAATCTGTCTGTTGTTCCATCATATAAAAAAGCATTTGCATAAATTGCATCATTGACAGTTCGGCGGAACTCTCGTCTGAAGACAATGATTGAATTTCGAAATCGATGTTGCTGGAATCCATTACCTTTAATTTCTCTATTACATCTGAAAAATCGTTGGTATTGACCGATTGTAGACTCTTATTGAACGAAGTAAGATTTTGTAAGGCCGGATGAATACGAGTAGTTTCAGTGTTTTCATTAATTTTAACGTCCGAAAAATCGAAGCGCAATTGCAATGATGGAATTGTAGGCAAGAAGAATGGTGCAGCCTCTGGAACTTTAGGCAGCTGTTTCGGTTTATTTCTCCTTTTAATGATATCGATATCGAGTAAATTCTGCCATCTAGATTGGGCCACGGCGGACATAGTTATAAGATCACTATTGAGTTGATCAGGAGACACATAATCTGGCTCTTCGATGACGATATCATCTTCATCAACTTTCTTAGCTTCTACAGAAGATCCAGGAAGTCCTACTTCAGGTATCATATCGTCTTTATTAATGGCCTTTAGCGATACATGCGAATACAGCACACGATTCGACCATAAAAAGATTCCTACATTACGTACATGGACGGTCGCAAGAAATTCTGCCGTCGGAGAGAAATTTAAAGATATACAAGCTTCAGGAACCTGTAAGGCACAGGATTTAATATTAATATATATTTTGCAATCCAAATAATACAAAAATCTAAGCAATACTTGAAAAGTAAGCAAAGAAATATGAGATAAATGATTATCTATAGTCTGTTAAAAAAGCATCTTTTACTAGCTACGAATAATAGCGACAACGCTCTTATTGAACAGACTGTATTTCGCAAGAATCCATCTACTTATCTATTTATTTATAATTTTGAAATAAAATTTACCTGAAAAATATCTATTAAGTGTGACGACGGTATGTCCCAAGTTCGGATAGTGCAATCCATAGATGCTGTGATTAACCATCTAGAATCAGGATTAAAACATGCATCTGTTATTCGTCCCTCATGTCCTTGAAAATGTCGAACTATTCTCCTTGTGTCCAGATCCATTAACATAATATCAAAATTTTCTAAAGCTATTGCCACAAGGGAACTCTCATTGTGACAACGTATCCATTCAATTGATTCTTCTATTGTTAATATCGTTCTTGCCGTAATTATATCTAAAAAAATAAAAATTACATTAAAATATCATTTATTTTGAAGGAATTATAATTAATTACGGCACAAATACCTTTTTTAGGTTTAAAATCCCAGAACTTAATTTTTGCATCTTTGCCGGCTGTAACAAGAGTTTGATTCAAGTCATCAACCATGACGCCTTTAACAGGACCTTCATGAGCGCCATTCTCATTTCCATAAGATGCTCTGTGTATTCCTGATTGAATGTTAAATCTATCAACATGACCTGTGTTATAACCGATCACAACAAAGTTTCCACATCTTGTTAAATATAAACTAGTCGCAATAGCATTGTAATTGTTTTTAAATCTCTCGGGAAGTAACTTAAGATCGCTCATCTTTTGGAGGTGAGACGACCACGTAGTGACCATGCCTAAACCAGAATGAACTGCTGCTATATTGCACCATTCCTTTTCCCGCGTTACTTCAGATGCAAGTGCAGTTATTGGCGGCATTAACATCGGATCATCAACCGAGTGACCTTTTTTTCTGGAAGCTTTTCTATTAAACGAGGCTCTACCTAGACTCTTGTTTAATATTTCTGTGACAGTAGAAAACAACCGGAGGGAAGAATCACCGCCTGTACTCAACAGATAATTACCGTCATTTCCATAAAATCGAACAATCGTTGGAGGTTCAGCATGACCTTCTCTAATTCTCAAGAGCCTACCAGCTCCATCAGCCATATCAAATATCCATAGCTTTAGAGAATTGTCAGGCGAAGATGAAACCAATAATGGTTCGTTTGGTATGTATCTCAGACCCATGACAGCAGCATCATGTGCATTGCAAAGTTGGCTCTCCACCATTCGCTGCTCTAAATTCCAGAACACGATCTGTCCACCTAGACTGCCTGTTGCCATGATAGGGTGACCATCTGTACGAAAGCTGATAGATATCACTGGACCCCAATCTTGTACTAGCTCAAAGATGGTTTCATCATACTTGAGATTATGCAGTATAATATGGCCATTATTCAAACCTATAGCAGCCACATCTATCGCAGGTGCTTGCTCCAACACAGTCACACTACTTTGCCATCCTTTGAATGTATAGATCATCTTGGTCGCTTTGATATTCCATAACTGAAGCTGACCCTGTTCGCTACCCAGCAGAATCTTGTTCATATAAGTATTGGGATGCATCAGTGCAGTTATTTTGAAGACGTTATTGCTGAAATTTAACTCCAATAGAAGATTTTCTTCTTTGATATCCCAGACCTTGACGGTACTGCTCTCATCAACAGAGAGCAAGTGTGCGCCGAATGGCAACAGAATGTGGACTGCACAATCATGACCCTTATAGGTATGCTTCAACTCGGTTCCTCTACGCCATGCGTAAATATTATTTGCACTCGCCGTATATACGTGAAATGTGTCTGTAGTCAGGCAAGTGATATCATCAATATGCGTACCTGAGACACTCAGGAGAGTAAAATGTTTACACGTGTAAGTGTGGAACTCCTTGCCTACACATGTGACGATAAAATGCTCCTTCCTTCTGACAATATACCTCGTAATAAGAGGTACATGATTACTGACATATCCGAGCGCTCGATTCCGTGCGAATATTCTACTTTGTACCATCGTATATTACAAGAAAAGAGGTAAATTCAAAAGAGATTATACACTTCATTCATTTATACATTCACAATTATGTTTCTCGTGGTGCAATCAAGGGCGCCATATTTGAAACATGATTTATGCAATAATAAGATGCGCCACATCAACATCTTAAGCCTCAGACATAATGCGAAGGAATAGCGATAGCGATAGAAATAACTCGATTTCAACCTATCAGAAACTATATATTCCAGTGTATCTGATTTCTGATGAAATCATATTATTTCTATCGCTATCGCTATTCCTTCACATTGTGTCTGGGACTTTATAACCTTTTTTCATTGGCAGGATTGATGAGCATTCAGTTCACTTTAAAGTCGTCGTACACAAATTGATGTAAACATGTACGTTTAATGGACCTTTTACAATAAGTTATTAGTCACAAATCAGAAGTCAAAAGCTAAAAATTGACTGTGATTGATCAATTTTTAGCTTCTGACTTCTGATTTCTAATGGCTTATTGTAGAAGGCCTATAAAAGGCCTACATCCTTACAGGAGTTCGCGTCCTTGTGAATATTGAAGTGATTAAGAGTTAAAAACTAATAATATTGTACTAATTTTATGATTTTTTTGTTTAAATTGTGATTTATCGTTAAAGTTTGATTATCAACAGAAACGATAATTGCAGAAAAAAAATTGTAATTTTTCTGCAATATATAGGATTATTACCTTTACAAATATGCATATGTATTTATGGAATATTTATGTAATAAAAAAAATCACAAATTTAATGATGTATGAACTAAATATTTATGTCAACAATAGCAAATTTATATCAATTGTCGATAATGTCAGCGTTCTTCAATTACCTCCGGGCCCTTGAGGCCCTTTTTATATCGCCGAAAATTTGCTCAGAGTCAACGGTCTTTAATAATATCTCGTCGGTGCTTGTATCGACTTGTGTCATTCAAATATGGCGTGTGAAGTTCGACTAATGGTCGCAGCACAGACTCTTGCTTAACATAATGCATAGTGCATAAAGGAATCAACCAATCGAAATTCTTCTTTTCCATGGAATTGGAAGAAAGGAAAGATTCTGATTAGTTGATTCGCTTATGCACTACGTGTTATGCAAAAGTCTGTGCTGCGGCCTTTAAAGCCTGCGGCATACGGTGCTTGTTTTCCTATTGGATTGCTAGCTGGATTAGAATCTTGGGTGCATTTCGTTTTACACATGATGATGCATTATTTATTCTTATTGCTCATCGAATGTTAATCAAGATAAATGATGCATTATCCCTTATCACCGTATTGACTGTCATACTGGCATTGACAGCACCGCAGCCAATATGATCAATGACGTCGAGTGTGAATTCAGCATAAGAACCAACCACAGTTGAATATTCCCCTGTTACAATCGAACGACAGGGGAATGCTCGGCTATAGTTGGTTGGTTCTTAGAGCCATACCACACAACTTGCATAGTCGCATAATCATATGCATAAAGAAAATTATCCAATCACATTTCTGTCATAAATTTCAAACATAAAATACGATTGGATGATTTTCTTTATGCACTTATTGTGCGGCTATACAAGTTGTGTGGAATGGCCCTTACATTCTGATCCAGTTTAAACTCTCGGTGAAAATTAGGCCAGTGATACATCTTGTTTTTTTACATCATGAATGCACTTCATTAATAAAAGAAGAATTCGTCACTTCTGCTATATTGACACGTGTATCCAATCATTCCGGAAAATGGACCAATAAAAATCGAGGAGAAGAAAAAGTCATTCCTACTGATTCTATTCAACTGTTTGATAAATAAAATTATTTCAAAAGTTTACGTAAATTTACGCTTAATATTTGCGCATATTAGAACTAATTAGAACTATGATTAACGTCTAGATCTAGACTATTGTATCTTCTAGTAATAATTGCTATATCATAAAATACTACCCTGAAACTAACATCAGGTTTGGAAAAAAATTAATTGTGATTTGTTCATTATTCACTAAGATTAATGAATTAATCGTGAATTGAAATATTAGAAAAGTGCATTTTAGAAATAAAAATAATCTTAATACATCTGTTCCGATATGGCAAATACTGGTCTATTAGTTCTAACAAATCCTGCAAAAATGAAAGGATTGCTGTTTGTAATCCAGAAATATGTTTTAGAGACATTGTACATTCAATATCTTCCAGGAAAGAATATTTTTGCAGGAAATTATAAGCCTACAACTTTGCAACAAAGAGATCCTGAATATTCTAAGAAGATCATTGACATATACAAAAGTACTTCTACAATTTCTTCTTGTATTGATATTCGTGTTTTACTCACCAACTTGAAATATCCCAATAGATCTATTATAAATACCAAAAAACCTGTAGAAGTAGTGATTTTTGATCAAAAGTGCAGTAAAGAAGAGGCAGATACATTCATACAGGGCCATTTAGCAAACAAGTCGCTGAATTACCACTTTGTTAACTACATATGTAGTACAAATCTGAACTGTTGTAAAAATGTAGAATGTGATGTTCAGAAAATGAAAACTTACAAGAATGTAATACTAGGTGGTACATTTGATCGATTGCACAATGGTCATAAGATTATGTTAAGTGAGGCTGTATTGCGTTGTACAGAAAAACTTACTGTTGGTGTGACAGATATTAATATGATTACTGGTAACAAATTTTCTTATAATTCTTACTTAGCTTAAATTGATTTATTTTATAATCTATAATCATGTTTTTGAATAATTTGGGAATAGGAAAAACTGTGACTTAATCATATCTAATATTATACAGTGGTATACTTAGAAATTAAATAAATATTTTTAGGCAAAGTGTTGTGGGAACTTATACAATCCTGTACACAAAGAATAACAAAAGTTGAAGATTTTTTGGAAGATGTAGATTCATCATTATCATACAATGTTGTTCCTATTAACGACATTTATGGACCTACTAAAGAAGATCCAACATTAGAGATGATAGTTGTAAGTGAAGAAACAAAACGTGGTGGTGATAAAATCAATGAATTACGTTTGCAAAAAGATTTAAACAAATTGGATATGCATGTAGTAGAGTTAGCAGGTGATGAGGATCATGAAGAACATGAAGAGGCCAAAATTAGTTCTAGTAATCGCAGAATGCGATTACTTGGCACAAGGCTTAAAGATCCTGTAGGTTTTTTCTACTGAATATTTACAATACAATACAAAAAATTATAAAATAATTTTCATATGAAATTTCTATATATAATTCTATATATAATTTTATTTAAATTGCATTAATTTTGTTATATAATTTAATAATCTATTTCTTCTATTAGAGTGAAAGTAAAATCTTAAGACCTAGAATCTTAAGACCTTACGTCATTGGTTTAACGGGTGGTATTGCAAGTGGAAAATCTTCAGTTGCTGAAAAATTGCAACAACTCGGCGCTGGTCTTGTAAATTGTGATAAATTAGCTCATAACTTGTATTTACCAGGGACAGATTGCTTTCATAAAATAATTGAACATTTTGGTTCTTTTATTCTCGACTCAGATGGATTTATAAATAGAAAGTTGCTTGGTGACATTGTGTTTAATAATAAGGTATTTGATCTCATATTCCATAATATTTATTACATATGTTATTTCATAAAAAGTATTTTATGTAGGAACAATTAGAAAAGTTGAACAAATTAATTTGGCCTTTAATTCTGCAAGAAGCTAAAAAAGAAATAGAAAATCTTTTTTACAAGCATCGTAATATTATTGTACTGGAAGCAGCAGTTTTAATTCAAGCTGAATGGCAAAATGAATGCAGCGAAATTTGGACTTGTATTATACCACAAAATGAGGTTAGACTCTATGTCTTACAGATAAATTATATTTTGCCTAGTATATGTATATATACTAATAAGAATCTATTTAACTATTATATTATTTCAAATTTCTTATTTTATATTTAAATATGTACAAAATATTTTTATAATTTATATAACATAAATCTTTTTATAAATCCATGTTAAATGTATTTGTAGGCTATAAAACGAATTATGAATAGAAATGGATTATCTGAAGAAGCAGCAAAATTACGAATTAACACGCAACCAAGTACCATGGAGCAAGTTAAGGAAGCCAATGTTGTTATATGTACTTTGTGGAGTTATGAAAGAACCTTAGTACAAGTAGAAAGAGCATGGAAAGAACTAACACAAGATTTAAACAAATTACAGGCTTTTTGATAAATAACATTTACTTATTCTCTGATATACAATTTATAATTCGGATATTGATGCGCAATGATGAGAGAAATATTGATAATTGAATAACAGAAATGGATATTAATAAGAATACTATTTTTATTATTACTTGTTACAAAAAAAAAATAAAAATATTATTTAGCAAATAATATATTATCACTCATTATCAGTTTTTCTTCTTTATCTTCATGTAGCTTTATTATTAGGGCACTTAGAAACAATCGAAAATCAGTCTTTAATTTGTCACCACCATCATCCACATTGCACTTGACATGAGAGACATTAGAAAAACTAGATGCTTAAACACATACAATAATTAAAAAATTAATTTATATACAGGATTTATTTGAAATTTGGAAAATAGAAAATCTATTTAGAAATTGAAATTTTGTTAGAATTAGATTATTATTGAAATACTTACAAATAATTTTCGATACGCTTGATGTAGTATTATCAGGATCAAAAAAGAATATTACACAACAATTTGGCCCTAATTTAGCTCCGCTAACAAAATAATCGTAATATTCTTTCAATTTTTTTGAAGAATCTTGCATTTTTGCATTATATACCAGGATTACGCCGTCTACATCTTTACGTATAGCTGACCAGCAATTTTTAAACCTGTTGAAAATATTTCTACAATTTCTTGTTTTTCTCAATTTTGTAAAAACATGTATGATGTTATTTACTTGTGATTTCCACTGCAGTCCCACAGCTCGAGATCTCTCGAAATGCGTTCATTTTTCACTTCAATATCGTTAATTTCAAATTCTAATATTCGGACACCTTGAGTTGGACGATAATCATATGAAATTTCCGTAGCCTCTGCCAGGAAATTCGCTATTGTAGTTTTTCCGCTCTAAATAAATATATATGTATGTGCACGAATTGAAAAGTTCTTTACCATTTTGTAATTTTCGCAATAGTTAACAAGATATTAATTACAAAAAATCACCGAATATTGGTTTTCAATAATTTTTTATTCGAGTACTATAAACTTTACAGAAAAGTAACAAGTGATAAAAATTGTTTATTTTCTTCTCATAGAGCTCTTTATAATTGTTTATTTTCTTTCTCAAAGAATTTTTTCATAACTTTTTATCAACTTTTTAGTACTGCATTTTTTATTGGCAACTATTTTTATCAATATGAGAAAATTCGATATTAAACAGTATGAAAAAATTCTCAGAACTCTACGAGAAGGAAATAAACAATTTTTATCACTTATTATTTTTCTGTAAAGTTTATAATACTCGAATAAAAAATTATTGAAATATTCGATGATTTTTAGTAATATCTTGTCAACTATTGTGAAAATTGCAAAATTATAGAGCATTTCGAATCAGTTTAGTCCGCTCTATTTATACAAGAGCACTTTGTCAATAATGACGGGACACCTTATACATATTTAAGATTTGCATAATTTTAACAAAATCTGGTAATATAACATTTTCATATTTTTTTTAAATATACATATTCAATTGATAAATGGATAAATCTTACCTCAGTTGGTCCTATCATTACTAATTTTAATGTGTGCATTATTTGACAATATTAATTGCAAGTATATATTAACATTCCATTGCACCTGATGAATATGTACAACAATGCAGAATGCATTGTTTGGCAATTGTCGCTATAACAACCGTTGCCTAGGTATACATATACACAACATTATTAAGAAAGCAAGACACATTACATGATTTGAATTGAAATAATATCATACAAAATGCATTAAATGTATGGCAAAAATAATTTTAAAATTTATGTTTATAAGTAAAAGTCATAAATTCATATATATGCTTATTTAAATAAATTATCTATTTTGTCTGTATTCTTTAAAGGAACTAATGTGTTTCTTTACATCATGTATATATACATGTATTTATAAGAAATCATTGAAGACAAAGGCGAATTATTTCTTAATTTACATTTATATGTAATTTATTTTGGTATAACGTCTTGCAAATATAATTCACTGCAACATAATTAACATAATTAAATATTCCAAAATGTGTAATTATACATAAATCATGTATAAAAAATGAATATATGTCATTTGTAAAGTTATGATACTTTATTGAATACATTAAATGTTTAATACATTCGTTACAATACTGTTTTCTTAACAGTATATTTAACACTATGTAATGCAGTCATGGATTACGTAACCATTATTATTGCAATAATTAACACATGATTATAATAAAAATTGTAATTTGATTATAGTTATTTGCTTATTAAATTGTGAAGTACACTTTGCTATTGTGATGTAAATTACTTGCAGTAAAAGTTTTCTTTAAAATTCTAAATGAAATTATGTAAAGATATGTTTACTAAAGAATACTTTAAATATGAGCTACAAATAATTCTAACGTGTATTTTATTACCCATTATACCATCATATTTGTATAACTGATGTTAAATAATTTAATGTCTAACTTCTTATAATATTATTTTTTCCGTAAGCATTCCGAAAATTATTAAGTAATGTATCAAATATAAATTTTTTTGGATAATCATATTAATTATGTATATATAATTAATAAATAATATAGTATAAATAATTATACATTTAATACATATAATTCAGACCTGTCTAAGCTTGCGAGCCTCTCCTATATCGTCTCGAGTTAAACGGGAAGGGGAAAAAAACAAAAAAAAATCGCTAGAGTTCTGTCCAATAACTATCTAGTCTATCTTTTTTTAACTTCTATCTGTCTTGTTCGACGAAAATAATGAAGAGGGAGAAGCATTGAGCTCTCATGAATCAAGTTTTGAACAGATCTGAATTGTGTATTATACAGGGTGTCTCTTAAGATGGGTCGGGGTCACATTGGGGATGAAGAATGGATCAAAGGAAACAAAAAATTCTTATACCATTTTGAGATATTTGCTGAGTTTTTGTTAATTAGAAAAGAAAATGTCTAAGCCAATATGCGATTAAGCCGCGCAGCGTGAATTCGGCGACGAAGTGCTTTTTCCCCCTCTCTGCGCGCCGCTGCTTTTCTTTTCTAATTAAAAAAGCGAGTATCTCAAAATGGTACAAGAATTTTTTGTTCCCTATGATCCACCCCCAATGTAGCCCCGACCCATCTTAAGAGACACCCTGTATAATTGTAAATTTGTTTATGAAAAATATATATATATATTCTTCAACAAAAAAATTTCGCATAGATTTAAATGTTGGGCTAGTTTTCTTGATAACAATGACAGCTATAATTTGACGCGTAGGACCTTTCTCGTAAGTATTGTCAAGAGAAATCAAGATAGTTCTGTGGTATTTTGCCATACAATTTTGTTATAATTTCCAAGATAATAGCCCTTTTTGTCTAGATTCGTGCATAATTATTAAAGATTGATTTAATCATTTTTATGTATAAATACTTAATTTTTCATACATATAAATCATTTGTTACATAGTATTTTCCTGAAAACTAAATTGTATATACACAGAGAAAATAATATCGTAAGAAATTAGGTGTGAATTTAATTAAGTCTTTTTTAATCATGTGGCTCAATATGTGTATTTATAGTTTGATATATAAAACCATGTAATAACTTTCATTACATTTATTATATTTAGGAAGATAAATTGCAAAGCATTACGCCAAAAAATTCAAGATTGTCAGCATGGGTAAATAATACAAGTAGCAGTGTCATCAAATCACTAAATAATTATTGATATTTTATGATAAAGATCAAATAAAAAAACCTGTGTATAACATACATTACATTTTGAAAAGTATATTGAAATGTAAGATATTTACTTTAACCAATTGCCATTAAATCCTGCTTACTAACATCTTCCGGATAAGTTAAGTTATATAATGCCAGTAATGCTGCTTTAGCTGCTGCTTTCTTCGCATCCTTTTTGTTTTTAGCTGGAATAAATATAAAAATTATTTATTAATAATAGCAACAATAGTTCATAATATATACATTCGCAGAATATATACATACCTGTTCCTGAATATTCGATTCCACAAATTTCAACAGCCAAAGTAAACATCGTATTCGGTGGGTTACCAACACGGCTGAGCTCTGTATATGTTAGTCCAGGTCTCATTTGATTCAGTAACATAACTGGATGTATATTAGTAGGATTGGGTGGAAGTTCCTTTTGAGTAGAAGTTTTAGGATTAGGACTTTCTTTCTTAATTCCTTTTGCATTTGGTAAACCAGGTCGTGGGACTGGAACTGATGTTCCTTGATTATGCCATTCAAGAAAGAGTTTATAAAGAGCAAAACTGGCCAATGAACTCCATGGAATCTCATCTTCAGAATTTGTATCCATAGTGATGCTATCATCATTATTTTCTTCTTTTATTTCATCCATAGAGGTATTAGTAGTTTGTCCATCTGATTCAGCATCTAGACGCGCTTTCATAGATGCTGCTGTCATTTTTTCAAGTAATAAAGCTTTTAATGCATTTTCAGCTGCATTTTGGCGAGCAAGTGGTTTAGATAATCCTTGCCCAACGTAAGTTTTACCATCAAGCTATAAATAAATGTTATTAAAGTATTTTAAAGATGAGATTTACATCGTATTACATATTAAGCATCATATTATATTAAGTAACATCTCTCTTTTGTAAGAATCAGAAGAAAATCTAAATAATTAAAGTAATAAAATAATTACCTCAGCATGAACAAGATAAAGCGAGTTCGGCATGGGTCCTTGTGTTTCAGGGAATGTAAATTGGACTCCAGCTTTCATTTCATTTAATACCATGATTGCATTTTTGGGTTGTAGAGTTTTCCTTAGACGTTGGTTCATACGAAGACGTTTTAATTTTTTATTTACTTTAACTATAAAAATTGTTACATTAGTAATATATGTACATATAATATAATATGAATTAAAATTTAATTTACGTATCAGTAAACAACTTCACATTGATTACAGGAGTCTACGCTCAAGTATAATTGAGTCAAGATCATTCAATGCTCCCGAATCTTCAAATTTGCGCAGTGAAATGTCATCACCAATATTTAATTTTATAGGATAGAGTAGGACTTTTCCATTGACTTTAAAGTAATTCGAAAATCTACGATAGCAAATAATATCTCTTTGTTGACGTGCTTATGGCACAATAGAAGGAATAAGGAACAAACAATTTTAACCTATCAGAAATCGGATACATCGGAATACACGATTTCCGATAGATTGAAATTGTTTATTCTTTATTCCTAATTCCTTCTATTGTGTGCTGGATCTATAATTACATTACACAATCATGATTGCTTCTTCAGAGCACAAGCACAATTTTTAAATAACATATGTATATACATACATGTACATGCGCTGTCCAAAAACATAAACGCGAGAAAAAATCCTACCCTATCTTATTATGAATATTAAAGCAATTCTCATTTTCTTTTAATCACAAATTCCTTGATTTATTTATTCTAAAGCTGATTCTACATTATTTGTATCATGTCGCAAGCGTATCGCAAGCGTTGCGGTCAAGAGTCGAGCTAGTTTGACGTTGATTGGATCGCTTGCAACGCTACGATGCGACTAATGTAGAGAACCAGCATTATAGTTAGGTTTCATAAGATTTTTTACAATGTTACATAACTTTACAATTAAACATTTATGTATAATAATGTATCACAAAAAGTTATCAAAATCTGTTAAAACTTTATGTGTGTAAATAACTTGCATTAGAGCATTATAAGATAATATATTTTTGTTATAATTACTTTTATATTATTGTTCTAAATATTCAAATTCGAAAGAGATTACAAAGATATACAAAATAGTGCATTTCTATCTTATTTGTAAGTACTTACATCCAGGTATCTTCCTTCGCCATCTTGGTTGAGCATCTTGCATGTCAACATCCATGTTCTCAGGCTTGTCATCCGTCTCAGAATTGTTATTAGATGCGTTCGGAGGAATCAAAGGCTGAGGAGCAGCAGTTTGTCCAACAGTGGATTGTGCACTTACTGTTGTATGTTTTAAAATCGGTTTCAATCGTTGTGGCAATGGAAGTGGATTCGGCGCTTGTTGTTGTTGTTGTTGTTGTGATTGCTGTTGCATAACTATTTGCTGCGGTGGTGCTTGTTGCTGCTGCTGCAGTTTCTGCTGCTGCTGTTGCTGCTGCTGTTGTTGCTGCTGCTGTTGCATTTGTAACTTTTGCTGTTGTCCTTGTTGCTGTTGTAATTGTGGTGGAGGTTTTTGAAGTTGTTTTAGTTGTTGTGTAGGTGCTATAGTTGGTACAGGCCGTGTTGATGCAGCTGCTGCCATTTGCGTTGGTTGTTGCTGCTGTTGTTGTTGCTGCTGTGATTTGAATCCTTGTGAGTTTTGTACGTTGTCTTGTTTATAATTGCTTTGTTGAATGGACGTAGATTGCGATGATTGGTAACTTCCTTGTGTATTATACTGTAAAACATAGGGTGGGCCGCCGCTACACAAGGAACCTCTACGGTTGTGCTACCCCACCAAGGTCTAGTATCGTATGTTAAAATAATTTAAATGCTACCCCTATAGCTCATACCAACCATTACCTTTACTCTCTGTGGCCAACGTCTCTTTACTCATGACTGAGCTAAGTTCGTGGAATTAAAGATATGCTGTTAATGAACAGCATTTTTTTATATAGTAGATATTTATAGAATAGAAAAGAGGAAATTATACTCTCCATTATCAATTTAGAATACATGTTAAAAAGTAAAAAGAGATCAACAAAATATTATTATACCATGAAATTATGTTATGGATCTTAATGTAAATATTTTAAATTAAAAGATCCATGTGATCTCTTATTCAATTTAAATATAACAAAATGTCTAGAAATCAAGCATTTAATGCAGCAAATAAAATGTTTATAATAATACAGCATTTTTATGAGAATGAAATTTGCTTAGGCACGAGTTCAGCACGAACTACCAAGAAAACGGCCTACGGTAGGGTATGCTATGTGGGTAACTGACGACCTAGTCTTTGGTCGAATGCACCTCCTAGGTATTGTTGTATAGCTACTAGTACCTGCGTTGCAGGGAAAGGGACAGTAGGGACCACTAATTAGTACATGCAATTGGAAATCTTATCGACAGCATATGGAATTTGAATTATGTATAGAAACAAGCATGTTATTGTACTTTTCAATCTCACTCGCAATCAATATTTTTAATTAATACTCAAAAATGCTTGTTATTTATATAATATACTAAATTCAAATATATAAACTATTTGGCATAACATATTTAATACTTTTTATTTTTTTAAATAAATTAAAATTTATATTAAATATAAATATTTATTTTTACATAGGCAGATTTATAGCAATAATATATTGTAAAATAAAAATTAATTTTTTTGAAGTATTTATATTGAAGAATAATAATGAATATGATGCTAATCAAAATTATAATAGAAAAGTCAATTTTATAACACAATAAATAAATATCTTATCAAAGATATGATATTATATTAAGATATATATTATGATAGATATATTAAATAGAGAAATGATAAATATTATTTGAATGATTAAGTTATAAAATTTTAAATTAATATTTGTTCTTCATATTTGTATAAAATTGAAGTACGGAATATTTTTTCTTTCTACAGACTAAGAAGTATATTTGGTCTCATCGCTGTGCCTTAGCGCTGAGTGTCACTACAGTGTCTCCTGATACAATCAATTATACGCATATATCAATAAAATATCTAAATTCCAACCGATGAGTAATTTGGGCTTTTGTAAGAGCTTATAAGAATTATTAAATCCACTTTTAATTATCAAAAAATTATAATAAATCTGTTTTCAAATAAAAGGACCCCGCACATTTCATATAGAAAAATAACTCTCAAATTGCTTCGTTTTTAGATATGTCTCATGATTCTGAACAAATATTTCCATTGTCACATTCATATAAAATTAACAGATAAAAATATATAGCGCTTTAAAGTCACAGAATTTGAGTGTCGCCATACCTCCTTAAGATAACTTGATGCTTTCTTTTATGTGTAATAGGTATATAATATTTGTTTAACGTGAGTCCTCGTCTTTCATATCGGAGTGCTTTTTTAACATAAATCCTCTCGATATGTAATACAGAATTCTATTACGATTGTCCATTCTTAATTATGTATTAATATAATAATTATATATAACCAACCGTTTTAAAGACAAAGTATAATTCGCGCAAAATTTATGTTTTATCAGTTATCAAGTGTGTGTATGCGCGCGAAATTACATTCAAGAATATGTGCGTATGTATATCTGTTACATATAAAAGAAAGCATCAAGTTATCTTAAGGAGATATGACGGCATTCAAATTCTGTGATTTCAAAAAGCTCTATATCTTTTTATCTATTGATTTTATGTGAATGTGGCAATGGAAATATTTATTCAGAATTATAAGAAATAAAACCTTAAAATGAAGCAATGTGATCAGGGTCATTTTTCCGTATGAAACGTGCGGGATACTTTGTACAAAAAATTGAATAATTTAACTCTTAAGTATAGATTATCAGATTTTGTGAGAAAAGCATTATTAATCATATTTTAATATGCTCTTGAATATAATCATTTTTTACATAAGAAAAATGTGAGAGCAATTCATCAATTTGTTCAAACTTTAATGTATTATGTATGTTATAAAAGTGGGTCCAAATTATTGAGCCGAACTTAGAGATAAAGCTATAAAGAAGAGCTTTGAGCCTCGTGAGCATTTCTGGGATTTATTCTTAATTGTATTTTATATAATTAAATATATACGCATCATAATGAATACCATATTAAATTCATCCAGTCCATGCTGTGACTAGGCAGTTGTTTTAGGCTTCGACTAGACGGTATGGATGTAAGTATGCATCATAGATGTATGCTCACAAGTTTGGCTCAATAATCTGGACACATCTTAATATGCTCTATATATTACTATATATATATTATCATATATACAGAATGATAAAATAAATATATCGGCATTGAGGGGAAATTTGAATCTATTGAGATTATAAGACAAAAATATTTGAAGAAACATGAAGTGTTTATATTTCCTGCATTAGTAGATATATTTATACCTATAAGGATTTTTTAATTATGTATAATAATATTTTAAAGCTTTCTTTCCATATCTTTTCAAGAGTTTCCAAAGCATCCAAGATTTTATCCTAATATGCAATGAAAAATAATTTTGTAAAAGTGTGGTAGTGTCTATATCCCTATTTTTTTTTAAAACAACGGCTATTTACAATAATAAAATAATTTTAAATCAGAATTATATCGCATTTGACTTGCATTAACTCTTAGTTCGCACAATGATTTCCTGGTGTTTTACAACACACGATGGGTTGTTTGTTTCCCAAATTAATTTTTATTATTTTAACAAATATAAAAAAATTATTTATGCTCACTTCTACGAATATAGATTAACTTTAATTAACTAGTTTATTTTTTTCTAGTCTAAGAATTAAAAAGGATATTAAAGTTAATCTACATTGGTGGAACTAGACATTGATAATTCTTAATATGCTTTAACATCTTTAGGAATCATCTGTAAAGTTGTATATTTAAAAATATTGTATATAAATGCTATAATTACTTGATGCTTCTGATTTTTTAAAGAAATATGTAGGATGCAAATGTGTGGATCCAATTATGTGTACTAAGAGCTAACTTGCTCATCTTTAATTATTTACAGGTTTGTTCATGTCATATGCTTCAACTCATTTTAATAAACACGTTTGAATATATAGGAGCTATGGTAGGAGCATGTTGCACATATGACATGAACAAATCTTATATTGCTATGGATATGTGATCCACTTAACGCTGTAAATGCTTTATAGACCAATCAAAAGAAAGAATTTTACGAATTGACCAATCAAAGAATGCTTCAAAACATTTGCAACATAAAAGTGGATTGCATCCTATAAATATATGTGAATATCGTCATGAAAATTATCATAAGATAAGAATAAAGAGATTGAAAAAGAAAACTTACAGGCATTGTATAAGATCCTTGGCCTCCTTGATTTCCTTGACCTCCCTGGCCTTGGGGATTATTCGTATTTCGTCCTGCAATATCAAATTATTTATTAATACCAAATTATAAAAGTATAAGAATATTTCGAATCACAAGAATTTCATTCAATAAATTCTCAATAAAAAAAAAAACATTTTTCGTATCCGAATTTGTATTAACCAAGCGCACTTAAAAATTGCATAGTCCTTTACGATCATCAAGCATATTCGGTGAATCATGATGTCGCGCCATGTTCTCAACGAGCGCTAACAAGAAAGTTCACGGAAAACCGCCATCTTCGCACTAACCGGCGACGTATGCGGTATTGATTTTTTTCCCTTTGCAAGGAATCACTTTCGCTTATTGCGTTTCGTCGACATGATGCGACACAATGCGACATGCGATGATCTATAGGCCGAAATTTATATTTTATTGGAAAAATCATACCGTTACCGTAGTTCTGGCTTTGTCTGCTTCGTGTGTACATGTTGGGAGCGATAAACACTACACAGATCAACCAGGATCACCCTCGATTAAAACTTCGTTCAGTTGATGATGAGGAAAAACAAAATCGGTGTAAAGAAAACGGGTTACGAGTATGTTTATCTCGTGTCAGTCGTCCGATGACTTTGTTCTTATATATGTGATATTCCAATCACTTCATACTAGTCAATGTCGCACTGCCGTAATGTAGTTCGCTTTCGCTGCCATGTAGGAAAGGGAAATGACGTTGGTCTTTTGGAATATCGGAAGTAAAGGTGCCTTTTCATGTTAACGCTCGATGTTCATTTGCTGGATTTACTGGATCCGACATGCGTCGTACGATACTCTGCAACTAATAAGAAAATAGGATTTTGCTTCGCATCATTGGCCTAGTTTTTATTGAGGGTTTAAACCGAATCAGAATGTAAGAACCAACCAACTACAGTCGAGCATTCCCCTGTCATCCGATTGTAACAGAATACTCGACTGTAGTTAGTTGGTTCTTACATTCTGATCCGGTTTAAATCCTTGGTGGAAACTAGGCCATTAATAAATAAAATTCTGTTTTCTGATTGGTTGCAGAACGTCATACGACGCACGTCGGATCCAGTGTAAATCCAACAATTTTTGAGAACGTTTAGAGCTATTGCACACAAAATTGCGCAGTGACTGTAAACGTAAACATAAGCTGATGAGTCAATCAGGATATTGCTTTAGGCTTACATAACGGAAATGGAAATGATAAATAAACTTATCCACAATCTCTCAATAAGGCGAATTTCAACCGGTTGTAATTCTTAGGGTGAAATTACACGGTGCGGAATAGAGAATGCGTCATAGAAGCAATCAATCAACGTTATTCTGTGTTATTTCGAATAGCGCTAATTGGTTGTTTCAATGATGCATTTCTATATTCTGCAGTCGTTTTCCGCACCGTGTGATTTCACCCTTAGGATGCCTACGCATGCAGCGAAATAGCGGAACAAGAGCAGAACTAATTACAAGCGTTTCACACCAACTGCAATTAGTGCTATTAAAATATCTATTGTAGATCCGGATTAAGGTGAATAAGATTTATACGTGTCGCATGTTCGAACATATTCAAACGTACTCCTACCATAGCTCCAATGCACTTGTTGGAGTAAGTACGGATCTATAATAAATGATTTAAGCCTTAAGCCGTAAGAAACTGACCAAATACAGTCGAATGTAAGAGGAATAAGTTGCCATTTTATCTCTCTATTTTAGATTTACACAATAACGACCCAGTTTTTATAAAATACTTGCATGTTTATAAAAATATCTTTCACAAAGAAATACATATAATGTATTATTTATATTAACCTTTCATTACGTGGAATTCTTAGGGTGGAATTCAAGAAAATGAAAAATAATAGTTTATAAATTCTCCATCTTATAAATTCGTTAAATGTATGAATGCTATTTATACATACATAGTATTATATTTAGTCAAATTGTTTCAGAGTTTATAAAAAAATTTTTCATTTATTTTTATTTAAAGGACATACAGAATATTATCGATCTTTATTTGATAGTGAATCATCAAAGAAAACAATGAAAATTAAAATACAATGTTGGGATGTTAGAAACATCCCACGTGAGTAATATAGAATTAATCCGAAAATGTTGCCTAATTTTTTTACTAAATGATCATTTGAGGTACTTTATCTCTAATTAAAATCACTCTCATTAACAATTGTGATTCGTCCATTTCTTATGGCTTAAGGCTTAAAATTCTATTGTAAATCCTGGCTAAGTTCGGATCTATAATAAATGTTTTAAGTCTTAAGCCGTAAGAAATTGATCAATTACAATCAAATTTGAGAAGAATAATCGATTCGTCCATTTCTTATGGCTTAAGAAACTCTTATGACTTAGAACTCTATTGTAGATCCGAGGTGAAGCGTGGCCATGCTGCTCCAATTGGTTGAAGCAGTACTACTGGATCAACAGCAACCAATCAGGCTTTAGTAAACTGAGAAAGTACGTTCATCCATTTATCTATCTCTCACTTTACTCTATTTCTATCCCTACCACTGCCCCCACCATCGATAGTCCGTTCTATATGTCGATGCGTAGTCTACAATAAAATCCAACAAAGTCATAAAATGAATTTTCTTATTTTTATCGGCAACTCGATCTCATAGAAGCTGTGTTCCATTAAAGTACATTTTCACAAGCCTTCACTTTAATCGTTTCAGACAAAAAGGATCATGTGATCAAAATGAACGAATAACAATTAATTTAGGTCATGTGATCCTTTTTGATGCTGAAACTATCAATTTGAATGGCTCGTGAAAATGTATCTTAAGGTTAATGTTACATTCATCTATTTTTGTCGTATGACGTTTTTCAAGCCTATTGATTGGCTATAGAATAGAGAGATCCGAGAATCTTTGTCTTGCAACCAATTAACACGCTTGAAAATTTGTATGTAATGTTAGCTTTATTCACTGCGATTATATATTAAGTTAAAATTTGTAGAATATACCGAAGTATAAATTTTTATTTATTCAAAGTGGTTAGTGGATGACAGAATGCAGTCGCAGAGAATTAAAATTATTAAAAATATTAATGCGAAGTCACGGTATGAGTATGCAAAACACATACTTGGCAAGTTTCGTCAGAAATTTAAAAAAATTAAACAAATGATGCAACATACCGAAACAAAACACGTTCATCCTGGCTATGTCCTCAATTGAGATTTATATATTAAAATGAAATTTATAACTAAAATCAATGAAAAAATAAACTTACTAAATATATGGAGCAGATAGTGTGACGTAACAAATGTGGCTATAACTCAACATAAAAGTCGTAAGATCAACTTCTTCTCGTTCAATATTAATTGGCCCTTGCCGCGGAGTAGCGGTAATTCCGGTCAGGGTAAACCTAGTAGCTGAAACAAGTAACCAGGCGAGGGCGCCGCCTGGGAGGAGAGGAGAGAAACAGAGTTTTCTACCCCTCCCTTGAAACAAAGGCATGTTCATGGAAATCAGATACTGAAGTTTAAAGATTTAAGATATGCAGTAATTAGACGACATAGGGTAGGGGGGGATTGTTAATCATAGTGAATATTAATGGGATAAAGCGGGAAGTATTTCTTCAAGTAATCACGAAGTTTAGCCGATTTATGAATACAAAGTAATAAAAGCAATAAATATCTGCGTAATAAATATCTGCGTAAAAGTAATATCTGCAATAAAAGAGAATGATTAATGTCCTGTTTTGGGTCACCACAGAGGCACGCAGGCGAGTTAACAATGTTTTTGCGATGCAGGCTAGATTGTAATGCTAGATTGTAATGATTAGATCTAATTCTGAGATGGTGACAATCTCCTCTCTTTTTAGAGTCTTATGATAAAACCAAGGCTTAGCTGAGTTATTTCTATGAAAGTCGTCATACAGCTGCCCTTTAAATGTTGCTCAATGGTCTAAGTACGCTTGAAATTTAGTGTTGAGAGATTGCTTGGAGATCATAAAAAAGTCTCGAAATATTTTAAATTTAGGCCGATGCCCACTAAGAACAGCCTCGTTGGCGAAATGGTCTACAGTTTCATTATCAGTTATACCTTTATGACCAGGAACCCAGATATTGGGAGTACAAATTAGTTCGGTCCGTTTTTTTGTGTTCAAAATTTCAAAACAAATGAATGAACAGATTAATTAAAGTATTGTCCATCGCTGGCTACTACTTTTTCCCATTTCTCAGGAGTTTTAGGTGGAATCTCAAGACGTTGCAAATCTTCAATCAAGATGGAAGGAATCACATTGTTGAATGATGTCTAGAAACGCACATATAGTAAGGGCGTTATTAATGAAGGCACTCTGAATATAATTCGTCAGGGCAACAAGATTGTCAGAACAGACACTCTGGGGACGAAAGCCTGTTTGGTTAAGCGGCAATTTGACATTGGATTCAATAAACCACCTTAATCTCAGATAAATAATTTTCTCCATAATCTTCAAGAGGCACGAGAGAAGAGAAATCGGTCTGACACCATTACCATTTGGTTTGGGAATGAGAACCATCGACTTGTTCCATTCGGCAGGAAAAATTCCTTGACAGAAAAGATTATTATAAATTTGTAAAAGCACAGAAAGGCAATCAGGTGTTAAATTCTTAATAATGTTATAGTCGATCTGGTCAGCTCCTGGAGCTGATCTAGTTTTGGCTGAATCGATAGCTAGGGACAACTCCTTCAAAAGGAGTGTAAAAGGATTGTCCAAAGATTTGGCGCTTTCGCATTGCGTGAGGATGTTCTCTTCAGGAAGGCTACACTGTAAGGCGACATCTAGAGGACTACAAGAGGGAGGACAGATTTTATTAATCGCATTTTCTTGTACAGCCGACAGCGACTGATAGCATAATGAAAGCTAAACTTCGGCTTTTAAAAGCTTTGACCAACCTCCAAATTTTAATTGATGGAATATGAGCGTTAAAGCTGTTCCTTCCATTTTCTTCTCTTGGTTCTTCTGAGGACGCCCCTGCATATTGAAGCAGTGCGTTTATAAGCGTTATAGTTCTCTGAGCTTGATTGGCGGTTCCAGAGCTTCATTGCCTCGCGTCTGGCGTCGACCGCAGCCTGACGTTCCTCGGTCCACCAAGGAGGGGGGGGGGGGGGGGAGACATTTCTCAACCATCGGTTTAGATTTCGGAGTACATGATTCAGGAGAAAACAAAGAGTTTAAGGCCTTTGATCTCATTTACAAAATTATCGTATTGAGTAAAATCGTTCGTTGCTAAAATAAAGGCGAAATCAATACAAGTTAACTTGTGGATAAAGACCTTCATTTGAAGAGAATTAAGTTTAATTTTATACTTAAATGTAGTTCTTAAGCAAGGGAGAGTATCCAAATTGACAACAGGAAAGTGATCGCTGGAAATGATGTCGAATTCTATATAGCAGTTACTAAGAGTCAGGACGGAAGGCGTTACAACAATAAAATCGATGACCGATATTTGCGAACTGGGAGGAGTCAAAAGGATAGGTTTATAGTCGTTGCAAATAACAAGGTTACAATTCAAAGACAATTCAAACTCAAGAGAATTCAAAAGGCGTTTGCCAAGGGAGTCAGTAACCGAACAATTCCAAGCTGCGTTATGCAAGTTGAAGTCGCCTAGGAGGATGGCGTGGGATTGATTCGCAATCAACCAGGCCCTTGATAACCATGGAAGTTTGTGACGACGGATGTCTGTATATGTTAATAATGGCAAAGGAGGGACCTTGAGTGTAAAGCTTGATACTAATGAGTTCGATTGAGTGATGGTCGAGATAAGTGAGATCAAGAAGATCAAAACGAATTGGTTTTTTAATAGCAATAGTTATCCCGCGTTGGTCGGGGCAGCGAATGTCGCCTCTAACAAAATTAAAGATGTTCGAGTATAAATGAATATTCTCGGTCTCTTCGTAGTCTCTTGGAGACACTAGAGATCGTATGTGTAATCATTGGTTTGGATCTCCAGAAGCTTCCCCCGTAAATCCCTACAATTCCAATTAGCGATAGAAACAGGCTTGTTAAAAGACATGAGTAAAACTAGAATATGAAAGCGAAAAGTGATATAAAGTGAAGTAAGAGAAAAATTAGTAATAATTATAAGCGCAATCATCAGAAAAAGCGGGAGGGTCAGTTTGATAATTATCAAAATAGATACGCGGATCGTTATAATCAATCGGCTGCTGGTAGAAGCGAGGGGGGTGCGGTTCTACATATGAGTCCTACATGACTTAAGAATTGCTTGAAGATCATGAAAAATGTGGTCGCATCTATGTAACCGGCATCACTCGTGTTCATGATGGTAGTTACCTCGTAAGTAATTAGCTCGATCGTGACTAAGAAGAACGCCTCGAGATGAACGGCCTGGAGCTAAAACAAATAAATACGGCGATGAACGCTTTGTGAGCGCTGTGCCCACGCCCTTTGCTCGCTATGCATCATTCGCTCCGAGCTCTCGCCGCCAAATAAGTGGCCTCTGGCGCGAATCACGCAGCTACATCCTGGAGACATCTGAATGTTAGAGATCTCATGATCAATTCCTTTTTTCTTCTTTCATAATTTTTTTTTTTAAATAAGTGATTGAAGACATTGTTAACAAACATATATTACAGGCTGGTCGAGATCGGTAATTCGAAAGAAAAGCAAGAATTCTTTCAGTCGACCGACATTAATTGTCATTGAACGCATGCACAAATTGAGCTCGTGATTTCATCTCAAACATGATTTTAATCCTCGTTAAAATCATCAAATTCGTCGTTCTTTGTTCTTTTTAAAAACAATTCGTTACACGCAAACAAGCTGTCGTTACCGGCAACGGACAATCGAAAGTTCTAGAACGATTCAATTCGCGCACGCGAGCGCCGCGCTCTGACGAATACGTCATGCGCTGTCACCAATCCCACGCACGGATTTTCTGCCGCGCATGACTGTTACGTTGAACGTCGCTAGAAAAGAATTCAAAGCGCCAATCAATTCTGTACACCTAATGCCACGTAATAATTACGATTGTGGCAAAATTTTATTGGATTTTTCCCAAAAGGGAAAGCTCAGGCCGAAAGCAATAAATGCTTCGATCTCGCCGTCCTCCTTCTTACTTCCAAAAAGTTCTTAGAGTTCTTAGAGTCATAATCTCGCTTCGTAAAATCGCCGTGCTAACCGTTTAGTGAAATCGCTATAAACCGAATCTTTCGAGAAGTGCCGAGAAAAATCGCCGAGATTTTCCATCACCGCGATTCCAAACTCAATTTAGAAAAGGTGACCGCATTTAATATTCTGTTAATCTGATCTTTAATTAATTATATCTTTTGACTTTGTAACTGAATATATTAAAGAAATTCTTTTGTTAAATTACAAAGAAACTGAGTTGATTTTACTGTCGTGCATCATACCAGCCGTGCGCCGAACTCTCACTCGAATTTTTCCGCGCGGTGCGCTCTCGCACATTTTTTGGCGTCTCCCGATATATTGGGAGATCTGCCGTTTGGAGATATCAAATATTCCCTCCTGGCTTCTTCCAACGACGTAGAGTAATTAGTATTATTAGTATTGCGAGAGGGAGTGCCACGGACATTGGAGAGATCCTGCTTGAGTTTATCATTGCTTCGCAACGAAGATGGGGGAGGGGATTGTGGACGGGAAATACCCGCTCCCTGACACTGAGACCGAGGATGTTCGGGTGAGGTACGAGAGGTTGAACTCTTGGCAGAGACTTTGGCGTACGACTGTCTAGAGATGTCTGCATTTTCTAGAGGGGAAAATTTATCATAACTGACAAACGAATGAGGGGTGCTACCATTCTTTAGTGGGAAATTGTGATAATCATCATTCGCAAAGTGAACGCTACGCGTACTACCTAAGTCAGTACTGGATCGAAAAGTAGATCGAGAGTCAGTAGACGATAGCCTATTCCTGGCATCCGCAAGAGAGATATTTTCGGTGGCTGCGATCGTCTTATACTTTTTTCTGCTTGATGAAGAGAGGGCAGTTTGTCGACGTGGTGATATGGTCTCCAAAGCAGTTAATACATTTGGAGGGGAGGTTTTGCCTCTCACATGTCTCGTCTTCTTTATGAACATCCTTGCCACACAACTTGCATCTCGGTCGACTCTTACAAAACTTTCGGATGTGCCAATCCTGAAGCAGGAAAAACACGTTTTGACTCTAGGGAAAACTTCATGGGAATGAAATTAAAACTTCATTGGAATCGTAGAAAAAAAATACTTGCCTGGGGAGGATCTGCCCAGCAAACTTAAGATTAACTAAAGTGGAAGGGGTGTATTCGACATCCTTAACAACTTTCCTTAACAACACACCTGTTAAGTCTTTTAATTTCGGTTATAGGACAAGAAGATTTAAGATTTAATTTGAGTTCCTGATCCGTACTGATTACAGAAGTCGGAACGCCCTATACCTGAGCGCATTATCTTAAAGGTAGGAATAAAAATTGAATATCCTGCCTTGATGAGATCAGGATTAGTCACAAGGTTATTAACTATTTTATAAGTGCGCATTTCAATTGAAATTTTGCCACGTGAGATCTTTTTCATAGATACTATGCCCGAGTGCACTACCTTAGCAACTTATCTCTTCATTAAAACTTCAAACACGCTCTCGGTTATGCAATCACTGTTCACTTGTACATGGACAATAAAAGACGCGCGATCAGTCGGACTATATCTATTTTCAGAGAGGTTATGAGAAACCTGTTGAGCCGCATTATCGGATAGAGAGGCAGAGACAGAAACGGAAGCAGCCTTGTCCGGGCTCGGGCCCGGTCCATTGCGATGTTTGGCGTGTTCATGCCGAGTTTTCATTGGCTCTTTTGGCCGCGCGATCTATTGTAATGTCCATCTGCTCGCGTGTGTCATTCATTGCCCTGTATTTCCAAGTATTTCCTTGGTGAAAGCATCAAAGTGTTGTTCAACCGAAACGCTAATGAGGGTGACACCGTTCGCAGAAACCAGAAGAGGGGGAGGAGAGGACCCCCCTGCCCGCCTCCCATGGGAGACACTTATACTTTTTCAAAATACCGCTAGTAATATAAGCAAAGAGAATTAGGCGCAAATAGAAGGAAATTAAAATAGGAATGCGAGTCAAATAATGACTTAAAAGGATGGTCTGAAAAGAGTGGATGATGCAACACACGATGCGACACTAGACGCAGACACGTCCGCACCGGTCAAAGACACGCGCCAAAAATCGTCGTAAGATCAAGAAGGTGGATCACTTTTAGAGGTCATTGATTGTTATTATATAGAACGGTTGTATCATTGGGTAAATTTAACAGAGTATGTTCGTTCATAGCACTAATTGTAAGCATCATTTATCCTTATTTAATATTTGATAGATAACAAGGAAAATATGATAGCTGTGTTCCATTTATTGCTCACAGCATTTTGAAATTATTTTATTTTTGTTGTTTATCACATGTTAAACAAGGACAGATGATACTTATAAACGTTGAATAGAATGCACTTGATGCTTATTACAATATGTGAATATGAAAAAATAAACGCACTCAAAAAACAGTTTCTATTTTTGTATTGTAATTCTTCGTTTAATATTAAAATGTAATTCAGTGAAATACGTGTGAAAAAATTATTCCATAATTAATAATTACTTGAGCGATATTTCTGATATTAAGTTTTGTGTTCAAAGAGAGAGAGAGAGAGAGAGAGAGAGAGAGAGAGAATCTTAGCACTTTTTAGACTTTAGCTTGTATATGAAGTATTGCATCACAATTAATTTTATTTAATAATAAAAGAAGGAAGTCTTTTAATATTTAATAATGTCAGAATAAGAGAAAGGAAGTTGCCGTTTGATATTTAGATTTAATTTAATATCAAATGTTAATTCTAATCATTACAAATTTCTAACGTTTCATATACGAGTCTTCATGCTCACCAGTTGCATTCTGAAACTAGTTTTTCCATTTCTAAATCAAAATATAATTAATATAATCAATTTTGATCATGAATAATATTTCACAAATACAGGATCAAAAATATTGTTTATGGGGACTTTTGTTAACATTCAATTTATTATAATTTAGATTTTCTGTTATATTATTATATATAAATAACAAAAAAGATGCATATTAAAAATTTTTGTTATATTTTCCTTCAAATGAAAAAACTTGAAATAAAAAGCCTTATTTAAAAAAAAATTAATAAGTATACGTTTATTATAAGTATATATGAATTATAAAGGTTTTTGCATTTTTAAAAACAAATTTTAAAAAGTCAAATAAAATATAAAATATTAATTAATGTTAATATAAATTAACATTAATGAAATATTAATGTATTAATATTAATCGTTTCATAATTCTAATAGTTTATTAATATATTGTTTCTCCATGCTCTTTAATTAGAATTTAGTATGTCTTATTTTCATTACATACTTAAAAAAAATATAGATATTATTTAAATGATACTAAATAACAGAAATATCATGTACATTATATATTGTACAAAATATGATTCCAATTAAGTAAAGTATTTTTTTTTCCAGATTCAGAGTAATCCTTCCATTTCTTGCATAAATTGCATATATGCATCATCCTTTGTCTTAGGTTGCATTGTTCTAAGTGGCTGCGCTTCTGGTACCCTTTCTGTAATCCTGGAAATATTGCTGGATTTCTTCTTATCATCTCTTTTCACGCGCAAAGATGTCGGTAAAAATCTAGTAACGTCAGCAGCCAGATTTCTGATTTGTGGTTTTGCCTCGATAGTAGTGGTACTTTTTCCATCTTTGTCTTTTCTGTTAATTAATTGTGGTGCAGCAGAAAGAACATTGGGTGTTTTTGGTTGTGCAGTAGTTCCAGATTGCGTTTGTATCTGAGGATTTGTTATATTTGACATATTCGACATTATAGTTGTAGGTCCGCGGCTTGATATGCTCTGCATTCCAGGTGGTGGACCTAAAATGATTATTCATATCCTTATATTATCTTGTATATGTATAAATATACATTGTAACTAGAATTTAAATTTATAATTTAAATTTATATTGAAAGTTACAGATTCCAAAATTAAAAAATTTAAGTATAATGCAACAAAAAATATTTTAATATGTATCACCAGGTGGTAATCGGAGTCCGATACGAGGTGGCGGCGGTGGTGGCATTCTAAGATGCAATGGCGGTGGAGGTGGTCTGTAAAGTAGAGGTGGAGGTGGCATGCCCATCGGTGGCATTGTGCCATGTTGCTGTGTGTGCTGAGCGTGAGAATGAGATGTGTGTTGCCCGTGCCCAGAGAGATGTTCTGATGCTCCAGGCGGTTCTATTTCTTCGGATTCTCCTTTATTAGATTTATTATTGCTAGATTTAGTATTGGGTTCGTTTTCCGTCTCAAGCAGCGATAATCGCGCGTTTAGATCTTGAGCACGCTCGGTTTCCCTCTTCTTATGGACGACTTCCATTTCTCGCATAAACTGATCGATATCTTGTCCCGCCATTGCCAACATTTTTTGTTGCAACGTGGTTGGTTTGACTTTCGCCATATCTCTGTCTTTCTCTTTTTCCTTTTCTGCGTCTTTCTCCTTATTTTCTGATTCTTGTTTGTCCTCCTTATCATCAGCAAATCGTATCGTTCTTGATTTTGTTGGTGGCTCTTTTACCTGTTAATTTTATAAATATTGAAATTATTTACACAATAAACTATTTATAACTCTTTAGAATGCTTATTTAGCATCAATTGTTAAATTAATGCAATTTAATTTGTGATATTATTCTAATTGGTTTAAGATTGCGTTTAAAATTGGAAATGATTTTAGTGTACAGTTGTAGAGGTGAATATACATATAAATTTACACCGAAATATTATTAAGCATTAAGATTCAACTCGGATAACACTTTTTAGTTACTTATTGTGTAAAGTTTTCCTTTTATAATAAAACAGAGACTTGTCAATTCACACACATTTTCAACTGTATCTTCATCATCGCTCGATAATTCCGGAGGTGGAAAAGGTGGCACACCAGGCGGCTCTTTATTGGGTGCTAATGTAGGCACAGCTGAAGAAGTTGCATATGCACTGGTCTTTTTTAAGATACTTGGTGGTACAGGGATATTCATTATAGTATGATGTTGTGATATATAATGAGGATGAGGTGGATACATGTGTGCAGGTGGCTGTGGCATATCTGGTAATGGAATCTGTGATGTTAAGGAACCTGTAAAGAGGTTTTATATTATTTGTACTAAAAGTAAAAATGTATTATAAAATTATATTATTCTAAATACAGAATATACAGGATGTCCTTAAATTTCGATATTACCCATCTTGAGCAGGTAGAGCGGGTTAAACTGAGTCGAAAAGTCCTCTATCATTTTGCAATTTTCACAATGATTAACGAGATATTAATTACTAAAAATCGTAAAATATTGGTTCTCAATTTTTTATTCAAATACCATCATCTTTACAGAAAAACAATAAGAGATAAAAATTGTTTATTTTCTTCTTATAAAGTTCTGAAAATTTTTTTCAGAATTTTTTCAGAATTTTCTAATACCGTATTTTCTCAAAAAAATGCAATATTAAAAAGTTGATAAAAAATTCTGAAAAAATTCTTAGAGTTCTATGAAAAGAAAATAAATAATTTTTATCTCTTGCAATTTTTCTGTAAAGTTGGTAGTATTTGAGTAAAAAATGATTGAAAATCAATATTTAATGATTTTTAGTTAAATATCTCGTTAATTCATTGCAAAAATCGCAAAATGATAGAGGACTTTTCGATTCATTTTAATCCACTCTGCCTGTTCAGGATGGATGATGTCGAAATTTAAGGATATTCGGTATACTATATACTTATATGCCTATATGTATATATATAAAAATATACAGGATGCATCTGATAAAAATTTCACATTTCTTTGAAAACAATTAGAGAGAGACACAAGGAGAAAACTACTTCTTTCATAAACAAAATTTTCTTATTGATAAAACAAAAACCATTCAAAGCTATCAAAATATATCTTCCTACTTATCCTATAAATTTTATAATAAGTATTTCCTCCTATCTTTAATAGTTTAAAAAAAAAAGTAGTGCAATTTTTATCAAATTCATCCTAGATACTATATAAAAATTTCTATTAGTTGCATAATTGTTCTTCAGAGTTTTTTAATTAATATTTGAATATACTTACCTGGATATATTCTAGATATGTCATTGGCAGCTGATGGCAATGGAATTTCATCAACTTGCACTTGCTGTGCATGTCGTACAGCTTCAAAATAGGAAACTAAGTCTATTCTTCTACGTTCATACTGTATTAATTGTTCTTTTAGTTCAGCCCATTTTTCTTGATCATCTTTTGCCTAAAAAGGAAACAATATACTGATTATCTCATAGTAAAATCCAATTTTTAATGTCATTATAAGCTTACCAATATTTTAGTGAAGAAAATTTATTATTACTATTTACATACTTACATACATTTTTAACACACGGTCTAAAGTTTCCTTAAGTTTCTTTCGTTTGTCCTTCAATACTTTCTCATTCAAGGGAGGTGGTTGCATTACGTTATACTCTAAAAATAAAAAAAAGATATAAAAATACATTTTATGTGTATGTTCTAATTAAAAATAAAAATTAAAAATACAATCTCTAACCCATCTGATCAATCTTCTCCATTTCTTCGATAATCTGTGCTGGATCTTTGCCTTTCAAAACAGCCGCTCTTACTAATTGCCGTTGCTTCTTATTCTTTTTTAATTCTTTTTTACGCGCTTCTTTTCCTATAAATAAAAAGAAAAGATAATTAAATACTCAACAGTCATTTAATTAAAGATTATTTCTTTCTTGTTTTTTTATATGGTTATGTTCTCTGTTACTAACGTGCTTGATCAGTGGGATTCATGTATTTCCCACTTTTTGTGGTATTAATCGAACGGCGCCCCATTTTTCACAGATTTTTTAAAAATTTTTCCTAACAGTCGAAATAACAACGCGTTCAATCAACTTTTGTAAAATTTCAACTTTATTTACGTTGACTCAAAGAAAACAGGACGCCCAGTACTCCTCATACTCTAGATCGAAGACATGACTTTGATTGGAAAACTAGTAGACGAAATAGCCTTATCCTGTTTTATCCTACAGAAAAATTACAGGCAGTTAGGAAATGTCCCGCTACGAGTCGCTTCATCAAAAATATAATATACTCCTTCAATAAAACTGGAAACACAATGAAAAGCAATAGGAACAGGAAATAAAAGATTTCAATCTATCAGAAAGCGTTCATTCTATTATTCATGATTTCTGATAAGTTGAAATCTCTTATTCCCTATTCCTATTGCCTATGCTTTTTATTGTGTTTTGCTGCTTAAGAGTCAAGTCACAATATAAGTACATACAGTATGGACATTGAGCATCGGCATCTTTGATGTAGTGGATCACATGACTCGCCGCCATGTTGCGAGTTGGAAAGGCGCTTATAAATTTGAGTTTTTATAAAGCTACAGAATGATATTTCTAAAAAAAAAAGACATAATTCGATCGTGTCATGAAAATTGTATTTATAGCGAATA